GTCTTATGCTGTCCCTCCACCCTTCTAAGCATGATGTTTTTCTTCAAGGACTGGTGCTCCTGGTAACAAACCCGAAGTATGTGAGATGGAACCTCAAAATTCTAGCCTCCAGGGAACAGCTTGGCTTCCCCCTGTCAAGGACAGACCTATTAGTTCTTTTGGCAGTCCATGATATGTTCAATACTCTTCTCCAGGAGTCAAGCCAGCCGACTGGAGGAAGTGGGTAAGAACAGCAGGACGAGGAGATGACCCTGGAAATCTGGAGCCCCCAGGGCTATGTGGGCAGCAAAGAATGGTAGCTCAGGACTTGGCAGCTTTGATGGGAGGCACAGAAAAATATGCACTGTAGAAGTAGAGCTTTGCTTGTTCACCAAGTCCTCAAAATAAATAGATGTTTCCTGTTTACTCTGTGTGCAGGGACGAAAAAGCAGGAGGGAGAACAGACACGCTCTCTGCCCCCATGGAGCTCACTGTTAATCCAGTGGGACAATTGTGAGCCCATGAAGACCTCCAGAAACCAGCTGTAGATTTCCAGAAGGTTTACAAAGTCCACAAGAAAACTAAGCTTTTCATAGTGCTGTGGGGGAGGCTGAGTCAGAAGGAAACTACCTACTTACATTTACAGCCACTCCTCTGTTCCCACAGGCTGGGGACATACAGCACTGATGCAATCCTGCTGTTGAGAAGGTTGGCAAGATTTTTTCTGGTGCCTTTATATAGAGTCCTAAAGGAATACTTAGCTGATTTGAGAACTATGACCCTTGTGTTGAAGGGTCATTTTGATCGTTACATCAGCTTTACTGAGTAATAATAGTCTTACCTCATTTTTCCTTTAAATTAACTAGACACTCAGAAAAATGAAGCTCAAGGCAGAGAGATAGCTGGTGAGTGGTGATTTCGAGGTGGGACTTTCCCCAAAAGCCACATGATCCAAGGCCCCATGAAGTTCCTTTGAGGTGAAGCTCTAGAAAACCTCTGCTGAAGCTTGCTTCTAGTACCTTGTTTTTATTCTTGCCTCTAGGACCTTCTCTCTATGTGAAGACTTTCAGCTTTTAATTTATCACCTCTATTGCCCATACACAGAGGCCTCGTGGAGCAAATTAAACAATTAGCTGGTAACCAAATGATTATCACCTTGGAAGACCAATGGGTGATTCTACTCTGGCCTACAGAATCCCTATGAGTTGAGTGAATTCAATAGCAGTGAATTTGCTTTTTGTTCATGTGGAGTCTTTAAGTGGTACAGTTAATGGCCTCCTCAGCTGTGCTCAAGTTAGAAGTTTGAGTTTACGCAGAGATGTCACAAAAGACTTACTCATCTCCTTCCAAAAGCCCAGCTGTTAAAACCACATGGAACACAAGTCTTCTGCTCTTTTTGACTTAATGGCAACTGCTGTTGCCATGTATACTTTGTATGTCATGCTATAGGTTTCTGGGAGCAAAGAGTTATGTTAGAAATTATCTGATATCTATAAAACATATATAGGTGTGCATTTGTCTAATGAGTCACGGCTTTGGTGAAAAACCTTCCATTGTTGCCAACCACAGGGGTTCTCAAAGTTCTACAGGTGGAACTAGAAGGATTTCACATCCTCTTTTGCCAACTTTAAGCGTAAAGCTACAAGGTGTAGTGAAATGATACTGTGCTGAGTACATCAGCAGCTGACACTCAGGAGCCGACTGGCAATTTATGTTACATCACTGAAGTTCAAATTTCATATTAGCAAAATGAAGAAAATGATTCTTGCCCACCTCAGCTGGCTGAGAAATGTAATTATAATTCTGAAAACTTGTGGGGTCTGGCATAACTTTATGACATCACTACCCAAACCAAATCAACTGCCATCAACTTGGCTCCAACTCACAGTGGCCTGCCATTGGATTTCTAAGGCTGCAAATCCTTACAGGAGGCAACTACTTGGTACTTCTCCCACTATGTGGCTGCGGGGTTCACACCATCAACCTTTCACTTTACAACCCACCAGAGCTCCACTTTCATCCAGAGCATTTAAACAGAATCAAGGAGCCCATTCTAGCTCCAACTTTCTTCTCCTTCTGTTTCTGTCTATCATTTCTTTGTGGTCTTGTCTAACCTCACCTTGAATTTTCAGACTTTCTATCTGGGAAAGGCGAGCAATGGGAAGTATTTATATATATTTAAAAAAAGGCCCAAACCCCAAATCCAAACATTCCTGTTGTATTATTCTTTTCAACCGTGAAGCTTTGTGTATTTGCTTACACAAATATTCATATGCAGAACACATAGAAGGCTATACACACAAGCACATTCACATATAGCATGGACTTATGCAAACACACACCCTCAAGCAAATCGGAAACTAAGTCAAATATTTGTATGTAAGCAATCGTGTGCAAAGATAATCACAGAGAACTTAGATCCAACAATTATAAACATCAACAGCAAACACATGTATGCCCATGCAAGACAACCACATTCCCTTTCATGTAGATATGTTCACACAGACACCTTTCCGAGGGCCCAAAACATACAAGCACACCCAGCCATTTTCAGCTATGCCAGTTATGTGCAAACCAAAATGCCCTTAGCAACGCTGACACAAACACAGTAAAACGTTTAACAATTGAATTTTCCGCATGCTTTCACCATCCTTTCTTTTAATGCACCAGCTCTGGGGAAGTTGAATGAGTCAGATTTCTGAGGACTCACCTTAACATGACCCCCATTAACCCTGGCATTGTTTTCTCAATGGTAACTTCCACTTGTTCTTAAACATAGTCAGGAACGGAAGCCCCACAGGAAGCAGCAGTGTGAGTGTGCTCATGAAGACTCAGTTCATATGATTTCAGAATGCAGTTCTTTTTGGGGTGAGAAGTGTGAAGTCTCCAGCCTTCTGCATATCTTAAAAGCAGAGTTTCAAACTGGTTTAATCACGTCCAATAGCTTGCTGAGAATTTGCATTCCCGTTTCACTTTTTACCAAGGTTCCCAGGTGATCTTTAGCTATGCCTTAAGAACCAGACATCTGGAGACCTATAAGAGGCACCTGGGGATCTTGTTAAAATATAATTTCTAATTCAGTATAGTTGGGGTTACTCACTCACACACTAACTATTGCTGTCAGTCAATTCCAACTCTGCTCTTCCATTGTTTTCAAGGTTTGAAATCCCACAGGAGGAGATTGCCCATCTTTCTCCCATGGACTCTCTGGTGGATTTGAACCTGCAAAGGGTTAGCAGCACAGTTCTCTACGGGCTATGAGACCAGAGGTCCCTGTCTCAGGTAGAAATGTAAAAATCCCAGCAGTAGGTTGAGTCAGAATCAATCAGTTCACAACCCTATTTATCAGGGATTCACCTTTCCATCAAACAATACTGACCTGGACGAGAAGTGTTTGCTGAGATGTGTTTCATGCAGTCACTCCAACTACTTTAGCCCATATGATGCTGAGATCATCAGAAGAGGTGATGTCCTAAAGCCATTCCATCCTTCCCCTGTCCTCTAACCATCGTGAGACCAGGAGATTGGACTGTTTCCCCCATTAAACAAATGCCACTTTCAATCAAATTATTTTAATGCCGTCTCCCTGAAACTTATAAATGATTATGTAATCACTTTTGAATGACATTGAGTGACATAAAGTGACAGTATATTTTACATATTTGACTTTTTAAAAATAAAAAAGTGGTTATATAAGAACATTTCCAGCATGTCCCCAACAGCCTTATTTATGATATGAGAGTATAGAGAATATTAAATGTAAAAACTGGATTTATAAAGACAATATATATGTCAGCAATTTTAAATTAATAAATACAATGTACTTAGGAATGGTCAAGATGTTTATAACTTTGAGCAATTCCTCAGGAATTAGTGAACTTTGTTCTACCTTTGCAAAAAACTGTCTTAGAGTAGACAGAAGATCACAAATCAGTTGTCTTTGGAATTATCAAGTAGAATTTAGTATGCGGAGTATCCAGTGAGGAAGAGAGAAGTGAGAAAATAGCAATTCCTTTGACACTATCACAACTATTAATCTTCAGATGGCTCAAGCATACTGAGGCAGCATGGCATAAATGGTTTGCAAGCAACAGTTAACCGGAAGGTCAAAAGGTCGGTGGTTCAAACCCACACTGTTGCTCTGCAGAAGTTTCAGCAGATGCTTTTGTAAAAGTCATTGTCATGCAAACCCTGTAGAGTTGCTCCCATCACAGCCTGCAGTCACCATGACTCAGGAGCCAACTTAAAGAACACGAACAATAACAAAACACAACACATGAGGTAGTTTCTATTCACAAGATACGGTGGAAGAGCAGTGTTTCTGCTCTCTCTTATAGCTCACTCTTAGTTCTAATTTTGTTTTAGTGGAGTCAGAATTGAGTTGACATTCCCTGTCCAGGACTCCTTAGATGAGCTGATTAATACACCAACCCAGGTTCTGCATTTTAAGTATGGTAGATTTTCCCCTTACTGGTATAGTTCATAGGCAGTCGCATCGCTAAGCCAAGGGCGCAACGCCCCTCTGGCTGTGCAAACCCACCACAACCTCTGCAGGAGAAAAAAGGGCTATCTCTTCCTATGAGGTTTACAGTCTCTGAAAACTGGCTGCGTGGTCAGTTAGGAGCTGGTTTCAGCCTGACAGCAATGAGTTTTTTCAGAGTTGTTCCCTCTGCACCGGTAAACTCCTCCTGGAGTTTGGCAGCCCTGTGTACACGGTATAACACGAGGCCCCAGCACAGTGCCTGGTATGTTGTGACATTTGATATGTTTCTTAACGGAACAAGAAGCCCTAGTTGTGCATTAGTCAAAACATTGGGTTGCTAATCCAATGATCAGTGGTTCAAACTCACAAGCTGCTCCATGAGAGAGATGTGGCCACCTTGGAAACCCTATGGGACAATTCTACTGTGTCCTATAGGATTGCTATGTGTCAGAATTGGCAATGGGTTTGGCTGAGAGTTTTTTAGATAAGTAACTATTGGTCCCAGTTAGACAGGAAAACATCCCAAGGGTTTCTTCCCTCAGGTCGAAGTGGTTTCTTCCAGCGGGGTATTCTCTGCATCTGCAGTTTCTTCTGGACTCCAGGGTTTACCGACTAGTAGGGCCTTTCTGAGTCTTCTCCAAAAGATATGCTGCCCCAAGGCATTATTCTCCCACTCCAGGTAGGTGTTCCTGTTAAGAAGGCGATAGAGTTCCACCTGCTGCCGGAGCAGGGACTTCTCCACCTTTTGCAGGATGATAAAGATGATGCCAGAGCAACTACTCAGAAACTGCCACGTCTGCGCAATCTCATATTCAAAGAGACACCAGCGGCTCTGGATGAAGTGCTGAGACACCACAACGAGAACCTTCCGGCTCTTGTGGAAACCTTCCTGAATGATGTTGGAGGAGATGGCCACGCCGGGGATAAAGTCTCTGTAGTGAAGGCAGAGCTTGAAGGGGGGCACGCCCTCCTCCAGGTTCTTTACCAGTTCATTCCTCACCCAATCTTCATCCTGGCTGGAGTAGATAACAAAGGCATCATAGGTACATTCACCTCGACTATACTTCTTGCAGCCAGCAAGAAGCATCAGATGGAAATAGAACTTATAGACCAGAATGAAAATCAGAGATACCATGAGCACAGCAAAGACTGACATGCCGATGACAGTCTTGCTCATCTGACAGGTGCTGTTCTCAAAACTCAGCACAGGCGCGCCCTCCATTTCCGAAGGCCTGGCACACACCATTTGTTCAGCTTTCACTAACAGCTGCCTCTGGTCCTTGACCCATTGCAAGAAACTCTGGTGCTCACAAGTGCAAACAAAGTCATTCTGGGTCATATTTAAGAACGTTAAGTTACTTGGAAGAGGCTCTAGTAGGTGCATTTTGGCAGTCATTATACGATTGAAACTATAGTCCAGCACTTGGAGTGAGGGGAGATCCTGGTAGGGAAGCATGTCCAATGACAAGAGTTTGTTATAACTCATGTTTATCTTCTGAAGTCTGGAGAGTGAATCAAAAGCTCCTTGTGACACCTGTTCCAGTTGGCAATCGGAGAGGTCCAAGAAGGTCAGTTTATGGAGGCCTGTGAAGATACCAGGAAGGGTATTGTTCTGAAAAAAATTGCCAGCCATTTTCAATGTCCGAAGGTTAGTTAAGCCATGAAAGATGCCATGGAAGATAATTCGAGTGCCAGTGTATGAAATGTCGAGGTAAGTGAGTTTTCTTAGTGACAGGAATACTGAAAAGTCATTAGCTTGTTTCAAGTTTGAATGCTGGAAATCCAAATATTCTAGGTCGTCCAAGCCCAAGAAGTTTGAAGACATTGTAATAACATCATTGAAGCTCAGATCTAGATGCTTCAGTCTGGTTGTCCCAAGGTCCTCTTTAGAACAGCAACTTCTGTATCTCAAGCCAATTCCACTGAGATCTAGAAACTCAAGGTTTGGTAGCTCAAACTCTTCGAAAGTGTTACCATCCCTGCTGGCAGTGAAAACAAACTTTCTTAGAGACGGGAGAGCCAGTTTGGGAAATTGGTCAAATTGACAGTTAACCAATTCTAAAGACTTCCACCTGAAATCTTTGGGAAGGTTTTCAAAATTTTCGAGATAAAGACTCACCAGAGAAATAGCAGAAACATTTGCCAAGCAGTTAAATGTGCTAATATCCTGTGATGAGATTTCCCCCAAGTTTGCTATCCGAAATCCTGTAATGGTCACATTACACAGTCCCTCCAGGGCAGATTTGTTAAAGCTGTCCAAAGTTCTTTCATTTTTAAATTCTCCCAGGACCAACTGATGAACTTCTAAGCCAGCCAGACCTTGAATACACATTTTCATTACATCCAAACTATCAAAATTACTTCTCAAAGTCAGTTTATAGAGGCTAATTTCCTTGAAGGTACCTACCTGGATAAACTCTAGCCTATTGAGGGATAGGTCAAGAGAAAGATTGAGTTGGGGGATTTGATGTAGCACCTGTAAGTCTTTGTGATAAATCTTTTTAATCTGATTATTGGAAAGATCCAAAAGTTCCAGGTTGGACAGGTTAGAAAAATATTCTGGCAATTTAAGGGAATGGATATAGTTATGAGCTATATTAAGTTCCTTTAAGGTTTTCAGATGCCCAATAGGGAAATCCTCTAGAGATTCTAGATTGATCTCAACAGCCACCAACTTTTGTAGACTTGATAGTCCAGAAAATGTTCTCAAGGCTAGATGCTGAATAGGGTTGCCCGTCAATATTAAGGTGGAGAGATGATTTAGTTCTTGAAATGCATCTTCTTCAATTATCTGAATTTCACACCTACATGGGAAAGAGAGACAGATGATACAATGATTTTGCAGAATGAAAGCCCAAAGTTAAACAGAAACATTAGTTATTCAGATCTTCACAGAATGTGACTTTCCATACGATTGTGCCCATGCCAAGATATCAAGCAGGGCAGACAAGCATGTGGAAATGAGTATTCCCCACAGATCATGTATTGTCATCTGGCCACACTGATGTTCGCTTTTTATTATCCTTGACACATATGCTTAGCAGGGACAGTTACCGGGGGCGGGGGGGGGGGGGAATCAGTTAGGCAGTAATGTCTGGGGCATATGACAACTGAGTGTTTAGTAGAGCACTGGAGTATCTGTCGACTATGTCAGTGGCAGAGTATATATTATCCTTGGATAATGTATTTTCAACCTGTATGCAGAACAGATTATCTGAGAGGCTGGGCTCTGTGAGAAGTGTGGTGTCAGAATTGGTGGAAGATCTATCAACAATCTGTGTTATGCAGATGAAAAAACCCTGCTTGCTGAAACTGAGGAGGACCTGAAATGCTTGCTGCAGAGGGTCAAGGACTGCAGCCTTTGGTAGGGACCGAGGCTCAATGTCAAGAAGACAAAGATTCTCATCACTGGAACAATTGGCAGCATCAGGATGGATGGTGAAGAGATTGAGATTGTTCACAGCTTTAGTTTGCTTGGCTCCACAATCAACACTCTTGGCACCAGTAGCCAGGAAATTAAAAGATGTATTGCAATGGGAAAGTATGCTGTTAGGGACCCCTCCAAAGTCCTGAAGAGCAATGGTGTCTCTCTGGATACTAAGGTGCATCTGATACAGGCCATGGTCTTTGCATCCGAGAGTTGGACAATGACTAGGGAGGATAGAAGGAGAATTGATGCCTTTGAGCTGTGGTGCTGGAGAAGAGTATTGAATGTACCATGGACTGCCAAGAAAACAATAGATTCATCCTGGAGAGGGTTAAACTGGGCTGCTCTTTGGAGGCAAGGATTCTAGGGCTTTGTCTGACATACTCTGGACATGTTGTAAGAAGGAACCAGTCTTGAAGACAGACATCATGCTTGGGAGGGTGGAGGGACAGTGCAAGAAGGGAAGACCCTCTATGAGGTGGATTGATTCAGTGACTGGAATAATCGGGATGGGTGTGTCAGAGGCAGTGCGATTGGCACAGGATAGAGCAGGGTTTAGGGTTGTTGTACGTAGGGTTGCTATGAGTCACAAGCGACTCGGCAGCACATAACAATAACAACAATGTCTTTATAATAATACAATAAAATGGACTCTTAAAGTAGGAGCACCCACCTGAACAGAGGGAGCAGTCATATTAGGTGTCAACATACATTGTTTTCATATCAGAGTATGCCATTACACCTAAATACAAAGCTTAATCCACTCCTGTGGAGTCAGTTCTGACCTACAGTGACCCTATTTATGAGAGGGCATTGCCCATCTTTCTCAAGGGAGCTGGTCCATTTGAACCAATAACTCCTAGGTTAGCAGAACACTGAACCTGCTATGATACCACCGTCGTTCCTTACTTCATTAGCTCAGGCACTCACTCACTGCCATTGCATAGCTTCTAATTCACATGCCCCTCCATTGGGTTTCCCATGCTGTTAGCCATCCTTCTGCCCTACAGCCGTTGGTGGATTCGAACAGAAATGTACTGACTTTTGGTTAGTAGTGCAATATCCTCTTGACAATCTTCAGAGTTCTTTATTAACATAAATCTGGGGAGCTCTATTTGCATAATCTGTAGGGAATTATACACTTAACTCAAAGATGAACCCTATCTGGAAGTTCGAAACCATCGGTGGCTCCAAAAGGGAATAAGAATCTTGTCCTATTTAATTTACAGCTTTCAAAAACCTGCTAGAGAGTGAGCTACGAGTCTCTTCCCCCTTGAAAGCAATGAGAGAGGGGGAGGGGGTCAGTAAATAGCTGTTGATGAGGGTTTGAATTAATTCTCTATCCTAATTTAAAAAAAATCCTTCATTAAAATTAATAATAAAAAATTGTGATTTGATAAAAAAAGAAAAAGGAAAAAAAATCCAAAGGCACAATTGTCCTTAGAAGCCATCTTATCAACTGCCCATTTTACTGAGTAAGAAACTCAGACTTAGAGAAAGAAAGTGGATTGTGCAAAAGAATGTAAAAAAATCATAAACTTATATAAATTAATGATGTTGATACTGCACCAAGCAAACTTCTAGCTCAAGAATTTGGTGATAGGACAATAACTTTCTCCCCGCGGGCAGGCAGGAAATGTTCATTCATTACCTGGATAAATCCAGCACATGAAGTTGAGTCAAGTTGGAGAAGGTATGGCTGGCTAAATGCCTCAAGGGGTTAAAACTCAAGTCCAGGTTCTCTGTTGACGAGGGGATGTTGTCAGGCACTTTGTAGAGGTTCACCTCCATGCACGTGTAAGTGACATTAGGAACCACCTGAAAAGATCACACTTTAGAGACAGTATCTTGTTACATCTATTTCAAAGGTTCTTTCTCTCAACTCCCTTCTACAAAATGAAAATGCCTGTGGTGCTTCTGGTACAAGCACAGTGGTCAGTCAACTTTCTTTCATCCTTTATCCATTCACTCACTCATATATCTATGTACATCATAACCATTTAGTGCCCTACCCGAGATTGTTGTTTTGTTATTCATTGTTGTGTACCATCAAGTCAAAACTGACTCATTGCTGACCCTCCAGTGGGTTTTCACACTGTTAATCCTCCCAGTTAATCACATGGGAGGAGATTGCCCACCCTTCTCCCACAGAGCAGGTGGTGGATTCAAACCACATGCCTTTGAGATTGCAGTGCAGCTTCTTAACACTAGACTACCAGAGCTAACAACAGAAATTTATAATCAGCAATATTCTTGCCCTTTTATATAATCCATTACAGAGGAGAACATAAATAATGACCACATTTTTTAAAAAAAGATGATTTGCTATAGGAACAGGTTCTGTTCTGTTCTGTTGCTTATACATTTGCTATGAGTCATAGTCGACTGTAGGATATCTAATAACAAACCACATGTGGAAAGAAGAAAGCAGCAGAAGAGGATTAACTACAGAAAACTGGAAAGGTCTATCATGTGGTGAAATCAGAGAAGACTTTGCTACGTGGATAACATTTAAGTAGAAATTTAAATGGAGTGAAGCATGAATTGGGGAGACTTTTCACCACAGAGGATAGTCAATGGCCAACAACGACCAGCCTTGGAACTTACCTAAAGCTACTTCATCCAAAATGGTAGGCATTAGCCACACGTTGAATACCAGGAATATGGATTGTTTGTTTAAACACACCTGTCTTATAAATACAAACTATGTACTAGATTTTAAAGATTAAGTACCAAAGTCAGGTTGTACCAGGTCTCATTAGTAAATTTTAATATGCATTAACTTGAAATAATTTTAATAATTGGGTTAAATAAAAATACGGTAAATATCTCCTATTTATTTTTACTCATTAAATATCTCTATATGAAAATTTCAACTACAAGGAGTCTTGTGAGCACTGTGTGTCTCCCATTGAATTATTAACTGAAAGAAAGGTCATCAGTTCAAGCTCAGCAGTCACTCTGTGAGAAAAGATAGGCAGTCTCCTCTCCTAAAGACTTAGAGCCTCCGAAACATGGCAGAGCGTTGCTAAGTGTTGGAATCAACTCAATGACAGTGAATGTGAGTTTTGATTTATCTTTGCTATTGAACAGATGCAGGGGAAAACTATTGTAAATTGAAACAATAGCCATTGGAAAGGCCCTGTGGTTGGAAAGTACCCTAATAATAATAGTTACTGAAAGTTTTTAAGGAGGAATATAATTTGCCAAACCCAAGTATTAGGGAAAATAATAAACCACGAATATGTTAAGACTAGATTAAAGGAAAAGGACTAGAGTGTCAGGAATCCAGTCATGGATAAGCCTTGAGTCAAGCAAGACCACGTCACCAGGACTACACAGAAAGGATGGGTGAGGAAGAAAAGAGCCTTGGGAGAACTCAGAGAACATGGATCCTGGGGGAAAGGGAGGAGCTAAAGGCCGGTGTGGTTTTACCCTGGGATGATTCTGACTTGGAGATCACCATTAATCTAACAGCTGTATGCCGAATGGGCCATGAAGAAGAAGATTGTGGCCAAAGAGTGGGCAAATGGGGACTTTGAGATGATAAATTGGTCTTTGTTACACTTAAAGTGTGTGCCCAGCTCCCTCCGCACCACCTCTTCAACTTGAGGATTTTAGCTATGCTTCTCTTAACTTTCTGACCCTGCCTCGCCTTAAATTCCAGAACACTCTCTTGGCTGTTCAGTTCCGCCCTGGGAGTCCACAACAGCTGCCAAGTACGTGGAAGGGGAAAACAAGAAACATTTATAATGAAAGAGTTTGCCAACCAGCTGACGGGAGCTTCCAAAAAAAAAAAGAAAATAACTATTGCATTAGCTGACTTTTACGTCATTTTCCTTGTTCTCTTCATAACCCTTCTCTTCCTTTTCTTTCTCCACTTTCCTATTCCTTTTCATTTTACAACCTTTGGGTAAAATAGCATGAGTAGCTAGAGAAAACTCAAATTCATTTTGAATTTTTTTTTCTATTGAGAGATAAAGACAAAAACCAAAAATCCAACAACCCACCACCTTCTTGTGATGGAAAGAGCCAGAGTAAGTGCTTAAAGCTGAGTATACAATGTGCCAGGAGAAAGAAATGACACAGAAGCAGCCCTCTTACAACTCTCTACTGAAGTAGACATTATCACAATTACTTTATAGGTAGGATATATTGTCTCAGAAAGTGTTAGCAACTTGTTCAAAGTCACAAAGCAAGTCACACATAGTACATAGAACAAAGGTCTGTCTGACCTGAAACTCTGATCCTGTCCAGAACAATGATTTAGTCCCAATAGTTCCTCGGGTCCTTAAAGTGATTTGATTCTAGTTAGCAAAATAAAATAACCAGGGCACATGACGGGAAGGATGGAGCAGAAAGCAAGTTTTTTAGGAAGCAAAGCAAAACTCACAGGAAAAGAGCTGCCTCGGAGCACTTACCTCCACACAGGGCTCCCAGCTCTCAGGTCTCAGGTAGGAGAGGAAAGTCATGGCTAGTACCAATGTCCCAGCCAGGTGGGAGACAAGCTTCATCCTGGCATTTTCTGTGAACAACAGTGTCCCTTTGGAAGCATGATAATTTGTAGTGGCTAGGCCAGGCAGACACAAGATGCCGAAGTCTTCTCTCTCCAAGTCGGTGCCCCACAGCCACTGGTATATTCAAAGCCACGCTGGGCAAGAGGCAAGAGGAAGTGAAAGTGGCAGCGTTAGCGTTCTGAACTTTTGTTTCTCTAATATTTATCTGCTCCTTCAGAGAGGGGAAGTCAGAAGGAGAAGAAGAAAAAGTATGCAGAGCAGTGGCTGGAGCAACAGCAAGAGGAAGCTGGCTTTTATCCCAGAGAGTCATCTGACCTCTGGACTTGGTAAACATAGCAGAACAATTAGTCTCTGGTCAAAAAATCTGCATAACTATCTAGGACAGTGGTTTCCAAACTTAATACATGGGTTGTTTCTCTTAAAATGCTGTGCTTTGATTTCTGGTCTATAGACTAGGCATGAGAGAGATTATTAGAAACAGAAACTCATGCTTGGAAATCAGTATCAATAAAGCCGTATGACAGGAGCCAGATAACATAAACCACTAACCTTAGTTTTCTGTTTTCAGCATCTCCAGAAGGAGGCACACAGATCATTTGCAAAATGGACAAAACATATGAAGAGATTCTTCACCAAAGAGGATATTCAAATGACTAACAACCACATGAAGAAATATTTAAGATCATTAGCTGTTGTTGTTGTGTGTCTTCAAGGTGTCTGTGTCTGAACCCTGCCCTATCCTGAGCCAGTCTCACTGTCTCTGACACATCTACCCACATTATTCCAGTTACTGAGTCAATCCATCTCATCTGGGGTCTTTCTCTCAGCTGCTGTCCCTTTATTTACCCTTTTAAGCATGATGGTCTTCTCCAAGGACTGGTCCCTCTTGGCAACACACCCAAAGAATGTGAGATGAAGCTTCAAAATCCTTGCCTCCAAGGAGCAGCTTGGTCTCACTCTCTCCAAGACAGACTTGTTTTCTCTCTTGAAAGTCCCTGGTACATTCAAGACTCTTCTCCAACATCACAACTCAAAAACATCTATTCTTCTGTCAACTTAACCGTTGTCCATTATTAGCTATTAGAGAGATGCAAATACAAGCAACAAAGAGAAATGAATCATCTCACCTCAGCAACAATAGCAAAGTTCAGCAGGCCAACGAATACTAAATACTGGCAAGAATGAAAATTTCAAGAGTTTTCTTAAATTAGTTTTCTTATAATTTAATTAATGTGCATAAAATCTCTTGCCTGTTGCATGAGTCTTTATTACATTTCATAAATGGTGGTTATTAGGATGCTTAATAATGTAGATAAAATGAGGATGATAATGATATATATTTCAAATATTGCTCTGAGATTAAGTGAGCTGCTATTTGTGAAGCTCATGTACCTGGCATGCAGCAAGTGCTAAGTGTTTTTTAAAAAATGACATAGGTTAAAATGTGAGTTATTACTGGCAATGTGTCCTAGATATTTTGTGCAGAGATGTCCTGCAGGCAACGCATATCTAGAATGTCTAAAGCCAAATCAGAGGAAGCATGTCAGGATGGACTGAGATTGAGCTTGGTTTATCTCCATCTGAGATTCCTTTACATATCTGTAAAATGAACTTTAAAATAGTATCCTTGTCAAACCTTTACCTTAAGAATTCATTTCCCAACTATTTAAGCAAAGAGCTTAGTGCAGTGCCTAGCACATAATAGGTACTCAATAAAATTTATTTCCCAATTGAGTTAATGGCACTTCACCTCCATAGAGTCACCCAAGATGAAAATCTCTTTTCCTTTGCTCTTATGACAGTATCATTTTTACACCACATTTTAAATCATGCCATGAAGATTTTATTTCTAAAATATTTCTAATGTCATTCTTCATGTCTATTACAGTAACTATTGAAAATATTCTACGACTTGGGCTATTAGATAAACTTAACAGCATCTCAGAATCCAGCCTTATCTCTTCCATTGTCTTATCTCCTCCAAGTCCTTCTTTACCCTGAAATAAACACAATTTTTCTAAAATACAATCATGATTAAGATCATGTCTGTTAATAGACTTATGCTGCTGTTTTGTTTCACCTATGCCTCAAATCTCCTAGTCTTTTTGTCCCCTAGTCCTAAAACCATGCACACAGTGACATAGTCTAGCTCTGAAGAATAAAGGAGTATGCTTGTTATTTAAGTTACCAGGACACAGGTTTTTAAGTGAATGGAATAAAATAAGTTATTAATAGTGCATTTGCTCTTTTTTCTCCCTACCATTTGAAAGAGAAGATCCCTCGCTAATCAAGAGAAAGTATGAGAAAAAGAGTTTAAGAAGATTCCTACACATGACCCAAGCTGTGTTTCAAGAGACACCACTACTGTGTTTTACAGTAGCCTCCCTGGGAAGATTTTAAGATAATGCCTGACAGTGCATTGTAAAGATATTCTCTATTTGTGAGAAATTAAAATCATCTTTTAACCTCAACTAAATATATCTCTGTGCCTAGTCAAGAACAAAAGGTACGTTACAAAGACAAAAGACAATCTTTAACCTTATTGGTTATCAATTCTTACTTTACTGAGATAAATTTTATTTATGAGGCTACTCATTTCATTTATTCACCTCATTTATTATTTCATGTATGAGTCAACTCAGAGAAATACACGAAGTTTCAGCTGGGTTTCTAAAAGGCTATGGCACCAAGGATATGATGGTTGATGTCAGATGGATCCTGACTGAAAGCAGAAAGTACCAGGAGAATATCTATTTGTGCTTTATTGAGTATGCAAAGACATTTGAGTGTGTGGACCAGAAGAAGTTATGACTAACATTGAGAAGAATGGAAACCTCAGAACACTTAATTGTGCTCATCTAAAACCTATACCTAGATAAAGAGGTTATTATGTGAACAGAGAAAGGGAACACTGTTATTGTTGTTAAGTGCCATCTAGTCATAGACGACTCATGGCAACCGTAGGAACGAAAGTCCTCAGCACTTGTGTGACTTTAATCCTTTCTCCAGGTCCATAGGGTTTCTGGAGCAAGCTACTACAGAAGTGGATGTCATTCCTGCTTCCAAGCTTGTTTTAATCAGGAGCACCACCAAACACTGTTGCCATGGGAACACTGTTCTTGTTAAGTGCTGTCAAGTCACAGGCTACTCATAGCGACTCTATGAACTAAAGTCCTGGACACCTCCTGTATAACTTTTGTCCTTTCTCCAGGTTCACAGGGTTTCCAGAGGCAAGCTATTGTGGAAGTGGATGCCACTCCGACTTGCAAGATTGTTTTAATTGGGGAGCTTCACTAAATACCGTCCACTATTGGGAAGCCATTCTCACATTTGACTCATCAGTGTCAGTGTTTGGCTTCACAGCAACCACGAGTTGCCTGTGTACAACAAGTGGGCATACCAGAGTTACACGACCTAGAAGAATGTTTCACCTAAAATAATTAAAGGCAGGCACAAGGGGTGCAGGCCTGAGGGCCCGATAAGATTTTAAGCTAGAGCCTGGAGCAGGCTCCATAGGTTGGACCCCATCCTTGCTTACCCTTACTCTAAGGGTCAGGGCTGCCCATCCGCCTTTGAAGGCCAAAAAGGACACTACATAGGTAAAATTTTTAAAGTTGCATTTTATGGTTGTATCTTCTCCTAGCTATTCAATCTATATGCAGAGGAAATTACTCAAGAAGCTGGACTCTATGAAGAAGAATGTGTCATCAGTTGATGAAAGAAGACTCATCAACTTGCATTACATATATGATACTACTTGGCTTGCTGAAAGTGAAGAGTACTTGAAGCCTTTGCTGCAGAAGATTAAAGACTACAGCCTTCAATATGGATTACATCTTAATTTCAATAAAACAAAAATTCTCACAACTAGTCCAATAGATAACATCATGATGTTGTTGCTGTTATATGCCAAGTCGCCTGTGACTCACAGTGACCTTACGTACTTTAGCTCTGAAACCTGCCCTATCCTGAAAATCTCATCGTCTCTGACAGACCAAATCCCATTGCTCTAGCCACTGAGACAAGTCATCTCATGCTGGGTCTTCCTCTTGAAACAACTTCATCTTACTTAGATCCACAATCAACATCCGTGGTGCTAGCCATCAGGAGATCAGGAGATGTATTACACTGGGGAAGTCTGTAGTAAGGGACTTCTCCAAATTATTTAGGAGCAATAATATCAGTTTAAAGACTATGGTGGGCCTGATTCAAGCCATTGTATTTTCCATTACTTCCTGTGCATCTGAAAGTTGCACAGTAAACAAGGATGATTAAAGAAGAGTCAATGCCTTTGAGGTGTGGTATTGGAGAAGAGGACTGTCAAAAGAACAAACAGATATGTCTTAGAGAAAGTTCAGTCAATGTGCTCCTTGCAAGGAAAGATGAAAACACTTCATCTAAAATACTTTGGGCATCTTGATAGGAGAAGTTATTTCTTGGAGAGGGGCATCATGCTTGGAAAAGTGAGGGTCAGTGAAAGAGAGGAGAACCCTCACGTAGGTGAACTGACAGTGACTGCAGCAATGGGCTCAAGTATATTAGAGATGATGAGGATGGCACATGATTAGAAAGCTTTCAGATCTGTTTTCATAGGGTCGCTATGAGTTGTACTCGACTCAACAGCACGTAACAACAACCTAAGTCTACCATCACTACTGTGTTACAGTAAGGCAAGAGAGTGATAATAGTTGACTCTCACAGGACTACAGTTTCAACTTCAGTAGAGTAATAATCTATTTGCACAAAAGTGGAGATTACGTGAGAAGGCTGGGAAGGCACTTGGTTTTCCATCTATTTTTGAGAACTAATGTTAACACAGGGTCCATATTATTCAGTTCATGAATAAACCTCATATTTACCTCATATTTAGATACTCAGGAAAAAAATTGCAGTATTCTTTGGAAGGCATGCTATCGAGTAAGAAATAAACACCAAAACATATGACTTTGAAAACTTGCTAAAGCTAAATGCTA